CAAGAGCAATTAATCAAAGCAACAGCACCTTTTGAAAGACTTTATATTGACTTCAAGGGCCCTTTGCCATCTTCAACAAGAAACAAGTACATACTAACTGTTGTGGATTAATTTTCTCGATTCTCGTTCGCTTTTCCTTGTGCTGACATGGCTTCATCAACAGTAATCAAACACTTACAAAGTCTCTTTTATCTTTTTGGAATGCCTTCTTATGTTCACTCCGATAGAGGAACCTCTTTCCTGTCTCAAGAGGTTCAACAATTTCTTAACGCCTGTGGAATCGCATCCAGTCGTACAACGCCCTACAACCCCAGAGGAAACGGACAGGCTAAGAGGTATAACGGCATCATATGGAAGACAGTGAACCTTGCTTTGAAAACTCACAGTTTGCATGTTAGTCAATGGGAAAAAGTGTTAAAAGAGGCGCTGCACTCCATACGCAGTTTGCTTTGTACTGCCACAAACGCTACTCCACATGAGAGGATGTTCTACCACATGAGGAAATCCTTTTATAGCCAATCCTTACCCATGTGGCTCTCAGCACCAGGACCTGTATTGCTGAAGAAGTTCAACCATGCCAGCAAGTATTCACCTGCAGTAGAAGTTGTGGATCTAGTCAATGCTGGTCCTCAATACGCCAGAATCCGTTCAAGAGATGGCAGAGAATCAACCGTTTCCTTGAGGCACCTGGCTCCTTACGGGAATGATAACGGATCGCCCATAGATCATGAAACAGACATTGATCAAGTTCAAGAACTTGATGATCCATCAAATCAATCAACCTCTCAACCAAATGGAAGTATACGAACGGCTCAAAAGCGGCGACCTTGACGAGAACGCCGGCCACCTGACTTCTACACCGTCTGATTTGTAAAAATGAAGCCGGGAAGAATGTGATAATATTTTGCCTTCCTTCTGTTCCTTGTTTAATTTGTTCAAAACTATTGTATTGTAAAACATATGATTTAATCTTTGTTTACATTCAGTCAAAACACAAAATGTTAGGATACTTGTTGTAGTACAGTTTTAGTTGATTAAAACCTTATTAATCTGAGGTGTTTATCATTACAATACCGCTAGTAAATACTAGTGAATTTTACTAGTCACATGACCGAAACTACTAGTCACGTGACCAACTTTACAAAGGCGAACTCTCAAAACAAATTTCTAACCTCTATCACGGGGTTTCTGATGCTTCATAAAGCGTTTTAATTTTTTCTTTCATTTGATACTAAAAGTAAATAGCTGTAGAAACGCAGTGTCTTCTTTTAATAATAACTATATATAGACATATAAGTAAAACAATCACATATTATTTATCATACCGCTATTATTTATGTTCATCAATGAGCCCGCCGCCACGCCGCCGGCACGGCGTCGCTGCAAACACGGTCATTGTAGTAGCCAATTCCGAATGTAGGCCTAGTTGCGGCGCTCAAGCTCAACAGTTGGCTGGAAGTTGATCTGTTGCTGCCGCATTCGCTTTGATTTTTATAGTTTTTTTTTTTATTCTAACGTATAAAATTAAGCTTACTATTAGTAAAGAAAAGAAGATTCAAATTTTGAATGTATGCCTAATTCTATTATAAGGACGATATAAGGTCTAATATTCTTGACATTTTGTTTGGAACGTTTTTAAGTACCCTAACATATGTTTTCAAATATTCAAATGCATAAGAATATTTGGGATAAAAATCGTGTGGTGATTTTCTAATTTTGAGTCTACAAATCATGAATAATAAGCCTAAACGTTTATTGATGTAACAAATAATTATTGCAACACTGTTACAAGCAATGGAGAAGTAGGTTTTCAAGTATATTAGTAAAACACGGTCTAAGCGTCAATAGCGTAGCTCAGCAGTATAGTTCCCACTTTTCATGAGGTGGGTCCCTGGTTTGAATCCTCATCACCCACTAACCTTTTTATTCCATTAATTTAACTTTTACATGTTTTCCACTTAAATGACAGCGCTTAATCAACATAATTTATTTTATTACCTACTTTGAATAACAAATTCTGGATACTGTAGGTCTACCTAATTGAATTAAAAATAAAATGTTTTTATGATAAGCAGAAACTCCAACACAATAAATCTAATACTAGGCCTACAAAATTGTTACACATTTTAGCTATTTGGGAAGCAACTTAATAAGCACCTCAAAAAATACTATGCAACTCCTCTTTAAAATTGTCTTACTATTATTCCCAAATAAAACCGAGAGCCTTGGGTGTAAAATAATCTGATTAATGTTGCAATTGTGGATACATTTTTTAAGATCTTTGTATGCAATACGGTATGTTGTTTTAATTTGGTTTTGCTCAAAGCCTAATTTTTTATCCGTGTTATTATAGCTTAATATAGTTGATAAAACCATGAAATTTAACTCAAGTAAAAGTAAACTTTAACACAAATTTATAACTTGTAGAATTATTCTAATTAATTGGGAAATTGTACATTTATCAATATTACTAATTTTGTACTACGCCACATTTATTGATTGTAATTTATGTCTAATAATTATGTTTTTAGCACTCACAGAAGAATTTTTTTATAATAATTTGCAATTGTGAGCCAAATTTGCACTTGCAAAAGTAACTTAAAGATTCATTTTTCAATGATGTGAGTAATGAAATATCACTCTTTTAAAAAATACTAGTCTACTACAAATAATACGGGTGTAGAGAGGTTGGTATAAAATGGCAAGTATTTACCAGTGTAACTTACAAGAGTAAAACTTTATGAAACACACTTGCTGTCTACACTAGTAAAAACCACTAGTAATACTAGTCCCTACACTAGTAACTAGTATTTACACTAGTAGGTTTTTGAAACGTAGACTTGTAAAATACACTAGTATTACTAGTCCACGGACTAGTAAATACTAGACTAGTATTTTTATGAAACAGGGCCCTGTTATTATTTGTTTGTATTACCATTACTGTATTATGTTTTGTTTATTTCAGCTTAACTTAACCAATCAATAGTTTTATTAATACTTATGTAGTAAAACGGGGTGGAGCCCGTGGATAACAGCTAGTTGAAATAAGTTCAGGTTCGAAATAACTGTAATGCCAAAAATGAGGCAGGCAAACATAATGAGTTTTAACAATAATAATCACATAACAAACAACTTTGTGTACAAGGAACATAGAAAGGTAAACTAAATAAAAACCCCCGCCGCAGCAAACCTGCAGACTAAGCAAATTTCCATTTGCCTGATTGGATTTACTCTAAAATGTCTACTTAAAAATATAACATTAATTTCCTATTTAAATAGAATTAGTTTAACAAGTACTTAGGTTTGCTGCATCATGGAGGGTAAAACTGTTTTCTTTGTAAAATGTTAATAGTTAATTAGAAATAAAAACTTTTTCCAAATTTGATCAAAATACGTTCATAAACAAGCAAACTATAACGTTTACTTGTTCTCCATAAAAATAACGTGGGAATTTTAAATTTAAATTTTTTTTGAATTTTCTCCGTTACCATTAGGCGCATAATAACGCTTCAATATACTAAATTATTTGTTTTTTTAAGCTCTACAAAATGGTTTGGAAAGAAATTGCTAAATTTTTATGTTTTTTGGGTCAAAAATGGGAAAAACCTATTTTTACCCCATAAAACCCCCCGTAAACCCCCGTTCCTATAGTCCGATCTTGCTGGTTTACAGGTTTATACCAAATTTCATCAAAATCGGATCATTTTTGCTCAAGTTATCGTGCTAACGGACACACACATATATATATAATTATATACTAGCAGAGTACCCGTCCTTCGTACGGGGTTGGAATATAAGTATAAAATGCTTATTCCAGTTATACTCAAGCTTTGCGTTTGCAATAAGGGAGGACACAGTTTGATAAAATTAGCTTTTTTAAATTTACAGTATTCTATAGTATTACACATCTACCATAGCCATAATGTTCTACCACTTCACGTAAACAATAGAGAAAAATAAATTATCAACAATTCGCAAAATATCACAAATTATTCATGAAATTAAAAACATAAACATAACTGTAAACAATCCTACTTTGACAGTTCTCATTGTGAATCACAGTTTTTTGTTGCTGCTTAGTTCAAATTAGCTGTTTTCATAAATGCCAAAAAAAAATATAGTGCTGCACCTTGTTGGTAAATCTTATAACTTTTTATTGCTTTTCCATATCATAGAACCAACTTTTTTAGTTGAAACAGCTGACTAAATTCTTTAATTCCCTTTAACACTTAAAGTGCCGTTGACATGTTTGAACATGAAAATTGCATTTATTTCAATGTTAAGCAATGGCGGGAATTCCCATCATCAGCACCCAACGTGTTAAATATGAATACTCATAAGGTTAACATGGGGAATTACAGAACCACTGGGGCGGAGCCCGAAAGGATCTTTGAGATAAGAATATGCCTACAGTATATGTTAATCGGGAATTTAAGCTATCATCATGCCAAATTTCAGCCCAATCCGTCCAGTGGTTTATGCGTGATTGAACTTCAAACACACAAACTTTCACATTTATAATATTAGTAAGATAAGATATATATATATATGAATTTGAACGGATGGTGTTTTTGGCCTCTAGGGAACTCAAAACGAAAAAAAAATCTGTCCCGCGTCCATGTCTTACTATGAGTACTACAGTAATAGCTTATTCCCTATATGGGAAATTCGCTAAAACCATTTCAAAAACTGTGCTTTCAATTTAAACACATGGTACACAAATGGACACACATCTATTAGTACATATATAACACATATGTTGTATAGGACACGTCCTATAAGTACATACTAAATTTTTGTCCTAAACCACCTTTGCATAGCCTAACCTGCTAAACAATGTCTGTCTTCATTATTTTTTTGTTTGTTTAGTGCCGCCTTGAGTTTTCCTTTTCAAGATCTGACAAAATTACCTGTTTCGCCAGCTAATACTGGATTTATGAAATGTTTTTGTGACATTAAAGTAATATTTAATTTAATTTAATACTTGTTTCGTGTTCCAGTGTTGTTAGCTCTTCATTGTTGGATTCGACGACATTACTCAGCTTTCATTTGGCTGTCTGGAGCATCCATCATCTGGTTCCGCTCTGAACTTGCCATGTTCCTTGGATTCTTACTGCTCTTTGAACTGTTCTACCAACGGATATACCCATTACGGTAGACATATAAATATAACTTCTTGATCTAAATTTTAATAAGATTTCTTTCTTTCTTCAATTTGTATTCTAGGTATGAATCAAATAGAAATCCACAACCTTAGTTAACATTTAAAACTTAGCTGGCATACATGATCTATATAATAGAAAAGCATGTTTCTTTAAAAAAAATTTCTCAGCTTGTGCGCATCGCAGGGGAAATCTAATCACACTGTTAGAAATATATTTTCCTGTAGATGTGCACAATCCGTGTAAAAATTAAAATAGGCTAAAAAATAAGTACAAAAAATGAATTTGAAATTAAAAAAAAAATTAACATGGACTTTATGGGTTGCCAGGTGATGAAATAACATTGTATTGTAAACAGAAAAAAAATTGAAGAAATTCCAATCACATGTTTTATTTACAGTGTGGGGTGAAAAATAGAGAAGTCTGTACAGTGCAATTGGATTTTTTTAGCTGGAAGCGGTTAAGCTGTGGTGGAATATCTTTGAAGATGAACCTTTTTAGTGCGATCATGTGTTCATACGTATCAAGTTTTGAGGTTGAATCAAAAGAAACAAACTGGCATAATATATTCTAGGGGTGGGCGAGTGCAGTTGGCTCTCGATAGTCCGACACTTAACAGTCCGACACGCTCGGTAGTCCGACGCGGCGGCAAACTACAGTAGACAGCTGTCTAGACTGACATCGGTCTAGGCGTCTCACGTGTTTCTGGTAGCTGGTTCCAGTGTTCAGTAGCCAAGTGACTCGTGCATACGTACTGTACTTTTGGTGATCAAGTGACAGTTTACCTTCAGTGTTTTTAGTGTTAGAGTTTTGTTAAGTGTTGTGTGATGGCGAGCACAAGTGGAACCAATAAACGTAAGCATAAAACATTAACTCTTCCCGAAAAATGGGAAATTATTAAGAGGTATGACCGTGGTGAAACTCCCACGGCTATTTCTAAGGTTTATGACATCGGGCGACCTACCGTTTATGACATTTTGAAAAATAGGGAAAAAATAGAACATTTTATAAAATGTGTTGAAGACGATTCTAAGAGAAAAACACTTAAAATGAGCGAATATCCCCAAGTTGAGGAAGCTCTTTATGCGTGGTTTAAACAGCAAAGAAACAGACATGCCCCGATTTCTGGGGATATTTTAAAAGAGAAAGCACGGTTTTTTTATCGTGAAATCATCAAAAAAGATGATTTTCGTGCCAGCGATGGCTGGTTTGAAAATTTCAAAAAGCGACACGGTATTCGTTTCTTACAGATGAGTGGAGAGAAACTATCTGCCGATGTGACAGAAATTTCTAACTTTATTGAGACCCTTCAAGCTAAAATCAATGAACTAGGCCTTACGCCTGAACAAGTTTACAATGCCGACGAAACCGGCCTAAATTGGCGGCAACTTCCAACAAAAACTTTTGTAACAGGGGATGAAAAAAAGGTTTCTGGAAGAAAACTTCAAAAAGAAAGAATTACATTAATGGTGTGTTCGAATGGCGCTGGGAGTCATATGTTAAAACTGCTAGCTGTCGGTAAAAGTAAGAACCCCCGGGCATTTAAGAACATCAATATGGATTCCCTTCCAGTTGTTTACATGAATCAAAGCCGAGCTTGGGTAACTCAAGACGTTTTCAATGACTGGTTTTTTAACCATTTTGTCCCAGAGGTAAAACAACACTTAAAGAGTAAAAGTCTGCCTATAAAGGCTCTTTTACTGTTAGATAATGCTCCCGGACATCCGGACATGGAGGGATTAAAAGTGAAGACAACTGGTGGTTACATAGAGGCCATGTATTTGCCAAAAAATACAACTGCTCTGATTCAACCAATGGATCAAAATGTTATCAAGACAATGAAGGCACATTATAAGAAGCGTCTACTTATGGATATCGTCTGTCAACCTGACGCAGACATCACATCACTTTTGAAAAAATTTAACATCAAGGATGCCATTTTAAATGCAGCATTTGCATGGCAACAAGTCAAACCTGAAACTCTAATTAAGTCATGGAAAAATGTTTGGCCAGAAAACCCACTCCTCCAAAATAACGACGATGGAAATGACAATGGTCAAGATGACAACGGAGTTGTGGAGGACACACTTACACTTTGCGATGATATTAACGTTTCGCAAGAATCTTCAGAAGACCTAAGAAGATGGGTATTAGACGACAACCTGTGTGCTGACCTAACAGATGAAGATATAGTACAGGAAGTCATATCTAATGAACAAGACGACACAATTGAGGAGGCCGTGGAGGCAAAATACACGATCAGCTGTGACGAAGCTATGTTGGCTGCAAACACTTTGATTCGCTGGTGTGAAGAGCGTGGACTTGACTTGAACAACGTGTTAATGTTGAGACACATTCAAGAAAATGCAATGACAGACTGTTTACGTAAAAAGAAACAAAAGACTATCACAGATTTTTTCAACCCGTAAATGTGTAGGCCTACACCGCAGTTACAGTACAGTAATTACAATGTTGTAATGTATTTAGAAAAAACGGAGCACTAGCCTACATTGTATTTTAGTTTTGATTTATACTGTACTGATTTTTGTATTTTTATATGCAATAAATTTTTCTTTTTTGTAATATGTAATGCCTTAGTTGATTAGTTTATACCTATAACAGTTAAATAGTACGTGATATGTATTAAAAACTGGTTTTTCTTAACGTATGCAGTTAAATTCAGTGAAATAAAGCTAACCTTTGGTAGTCCGACGTTTTTTAATCCGACACCCCCCCGGTCCCGTAACTGTCGGATTATCGAGAGCCAACTGTAGTGATTTTTCAATTCGAGTCGAGTCGAGTCGAGTATTTGAGTAAAAACTCAAGTATCGAGTCGAGTCGAGTAGTTACGCGTTAAGTAGGCCTAGGCCCAGGGTTTAAGCTGCGGTAGTATTTTTAGCATCTTGCTATTCAAAACTTAAAAATGCTAAATTGTTTTGCAGGCTAGGCCTATGGCAAATTTTCTACAAATAAAATTGAAAGATGTAATGTTCAATCAAATGCAATATTAGCCTACTGGTATTTTTTGTTTTAAATGCTTAAGTTATTGAATAATATTTTTTCTACAGTTAACTTAGTTGTCTTGAGAGTTTGTAGCATTTTGCTGAAACAAATTTCATCCTAGCTTAAACCCTGCCTAGGCCTAAATAGGTAGTTTAAGTATCCCACATTTTCTAAGTTTGGTTACTAATTATTAGTTCCTCTTATTTTAGGCCTAGTAAAAAATTGGTCACAAAACCTTTTGACTGTAGCCTGGTATAGCCTATTTGGCATTTCTTTAATAAACTCACATCTTTCTAGGTTAAGTTACAATTCAAACTGTAGGGTTGTCATGTTTCTGCCACCAGATTGAAAATTGCACAATCAAAATCACAAACAGAACATGTTTATTTTACTTTTCCTACAGTTACCTAAAGCCCCCCATACACTATCGAACATGCCACCCGACCTGACAACCTGACCTGACGACAGACCCATCATCCAACCAGACTTATGTCGGGTGTTTCCCACACACTATCGAGCATGTTACCCAACAAGTCAGGTGAAATATTAGTTCTGAGATGGATTTTGAAACGACTGTTAGCTGTTTCAGGGGGATTTTTAGCGATGATTTTAGGGATTTTTAGAACCTATGGAACTAGGCTCTTAAATTTTCAATTTTATTTTTAACGAACTTCAAATCACACTCTGGATACAGTTCCTTGCACTTTTCCATCAGGATATTGTGCCCCTATGTGCATGTTTGTTGCAATAGAGTTTACTTTTGACATCCCACAACGCCTTCTGGTCTCTGTAGAGTTAAATAAATTTTGACCAGAACTGTTTATTATTATTAAATGACATCATGGAAAAATGGGACGGTTATCACGCACAACTCGCTAAATACAAGTTAACTGGAAACTGTGGCTAGTCGGGCGAGCAGTTCGACGGTTTCCCACACACGGTCCAACGTTGTGTTATATACTTCGATAGGTCCAACATGTCAGGCGGACGGCTCGAGTCGGTTGGTGCTATCGGACCGAGCATCCGACCTGACATATCCGTCGAGCATGTCGGGTTGGAACACACACTGTCCAATATGTTCGACAAGACGTTGGATCCCGACATGTCCGTCCAACATGTTGGATAGTGTATGGGGGGCTTAACAATGTACATGTTCTCTCACTGATTTGAGAAAGCAAAGTGGCCAATTCGTTCATCAGTAAGACAATGTTAACATTGTCTCACTCTAATTACTTTGTCTAACTCCAGATTTGCAACGTGAAGGCACGAAATAAATAGTGAACGCGTAACATGCAGGCAACGTCGTATGCGCGCAAAATACGTTGGCAGCACTGGCTGTAAATCAGCTGGTCAGCTGTTGTACTGTTGTATTTGTCATTTCACATTAAATGTTATATTAAAAGTTCACTTCTGTGTAAAAATAGGTTATGTTTCTTCACCAATTTATTTGTTTTATGGTAACTGTAGGAAAAGTATAATATAATGTGCAACTCGAGTTTAATGTACAATTGCCTCACTCGAGAAACCATTCCTCACTCGCCTACGGCTCGTGAGTAAGGATTTCTCTCGAGTGAGTCAATTGCTCACTTTTCTCACTAGTTGCACAAATAACTATTTTATTAAACTTCCACTAACAAAATCAATTTTATTTCAAGTTAGGCCTACTTGTAACTTCAAAGTAAAAACATTCAAAACTGACGTTGACATAACTTCACTCCAATCCATTGTTTTGTTGTTACGCTAGCTGTCACCATATCTGCTCTCTCTCTCTCTCTCTAGTCAGTCTACTCATTCTGCTTCTGCTTTGTTTTCCTATCAAAAAGCTGTTTTGCAGGGCTGACGTTGCCATATTTATCATTAAACCATTATGGTGAATGTCGGCAAAATTATCATAAAATTGCTATAGCTTTTATTTTGTAAAAAAGTAAATAGTTTGACGAATTTAAATCATGTTTATGTAAACTCATTAGAAAATTATACTGATAGTTTGTTTACGCCAATACCACAGTTGTAAAAGTACAAAAATTACCGTCCATCTGGCAGTTTAAAGTGGAACTGATCAACTGATCTTTTATTTCTGCCAATACCCAATGAGATTGCGTCATTCAGATGCATCGATGTTCCTTGCAGTAAGTTATCGGTTTGTAAAACTTAACACCAATACCGATTAATGTGAAAAAATATTATGCTATAATAGGTTATTTTTTATTTGTTGTATTACTATATTTTGGTATAAAATATTTTTTTATTTATATTTTTTGGTATAAAATATTTTTATGGCAGTTCAAACTAACTGTAGGCCTACTTAATAATATCTTCAAGAATCGTCTGCCATTGTTATACTAGTCACGAGACTCCCTTGTTGACTATCGACTATTGCAATTCGATAGATTCATTCAATGCTTTATTTAAACTTACTGTATCGTTATCAAGACGTATTGTTGACTGTTGACTGTTGTAGGAAAGTGAAAGTCTTAAGTAGTCCTCTTGCTAGCTCTGCCGAATGATGATGGTTGTTTGTTGAAAATTTGGTTTAAGCTGGTCTAACCTAACCTATATGAGTTTTTAGATCGTTGTTTTTTGTAGGAATGGGGATTAAATAAGCCATCAACACAAAACAAAATAAATACGGGTGTAGAAAATCGTGAAGTGGCACTATTTATAACTACTCGACTCGAATTTTCAAGTAGTAATTACTTTGAAAAAACTCAAGTAATTACTCGAAGGTAGAGTACTCGCCCACCCCTAATATATTCTTTTAATTGACAATAGTTAAATATAGGTACTGTGAAATAAAGACTTGATTCCTAATTCCAAATCAACTAATGAATAAAATAAATTGTTATTTAATTATTTTTGTCAAATTAAGTGATGGTTGCTTTGAAAATAATTAATTTAACATGAGTAAATATTAAAATATTGAATCTTCTTGCAAAATTAATGTAGATCATTATATTAATAGAATAATGTAGTTGCTGTGACTGGGATACACATGATAAACTGTTGGGACATAATCATGATTTACGTTTCATTTAGAAATATCTTAAGGCCCAGGCCCACCTTTTAAGGGTTTCAAGTTATGGGCCAGAATTAAGTATATACTCTTGAGATGACGAGATAAACCTTTATAGACTAACGTTTTGAGTTTTGACCCATTCAAATTATAATTATCAGCTAAATTGTATTGCTAATAATTCACTTAGGTATGCAATCTGATAAATTTTACCAGGTACGAAACAGGAAAAGGTTTTACGATAGGCCAAGGTAGCAAGATTTGAGTTTGGTTTATAAAATGCAGTAGCCTAAATAAATACTGAATGTTTTCTTATAAATCAGACTATGACATATACTAAATTAATTTATTTCATCTTAAATGAGCATTATTTTGTAAATTAAATCAACACGCCCCCTAATTGACAACATGCTAGTCTGTTTGTTTTGATTTGACCTCAAAATTTGACATGTGAACATTGAACACATGATTACACTCACTACAGCCAAAAAGGTTCAACATAAAGAAAGGAATAGCTTAAAGATATTCCAACATAACAACCACTTCTATCTTAAAAAATCCAACTGTAGGCCTAAATATTTTTGGTTCAATTTTCAACCACTGGATGGTTACTGTATTAGTTTATTCCAAACATTTGCAGACCTTGTAAACTGATTAGATGCGTAAAAAGGACTGTCTCCCTCACCTGGCCGAGGCCCCACTAGTAAAACAGGCCATGCTGCAGCGTGGGCTGCGCAACACTACATCATAGTGGTGGATAGTTGAAGCAGCAGTACCTGCGGATATTGTTAGTCTAGCAGCCACTGTCAACATAGATAATGTGTTGTGTACTAACCTTTGGCATGTATTGCTTGTTGCAGGATGGTGAAAGCAGCTGTACCCATGGGTATTCTTTGTCTAGCAGCCACTGTCAACGTAGATCCTATGTTCTGTACTAACCTCTGGCATTCATTGCTTGTTGCCGGATGGTGAAAGCAGATGTACTTGAGGGTATTCTTTGTCTAGCAGCCACTGTCAACATTGATACTGTTTTTTGTACTAACCTCTGGTATTCATTACTTGTTGCAGGATGGTGAAAGCAGATGTTCCTGTGGGTATTCTTTGTCTAGCAGCCACTGTCAATGTAGATCCTATGTTCTGTACTAACCTCTGGCATTCATTGCTTGTTGCAGGACGGTGAAAGCAGATACACCTGTGGGTATTCTTTGTCTAGCAGCCACTGTCAACGTAGATCCTATGTTCTGTACTAACCTCTGGCATTCATTGCTTGTTGCAGGATGGTGAAAGCAGATGTTCCTGTGGGTATTCTTTGTCTAGCAGCCACTGTCAACGTAGATCCTATGTTCTGTACTAACCTCTGGCATTCATTGCTTGTTGCAGGATGGTGAAAGCAGATGTTCCTGTGGGTATTCTTTGTCTAGCAGCCACTGTCAACGTAGATCCTATGTTCTGTACTAACCTCTGGCATTCATTGCTTGTTGCAGGATGGTGAAAGCAGATGTTCCTGTGGGTATTCTTTGTCTAGCAGCCACTGTCAACGTAGATCCTATGTTCTGTACTAACCTCTGGCATTCATTGCTTGTTGCAGGATGGTGAAAGCAGATGTTCCTGTGGGTATTCTTTGTCTAGCAGCCACTGTCAACGTAGATCCTATGTTCTGTACTAACCTCTGGCATTCATTGCTTGTTGCAGGATGGTGAAAGCAGATGTTCCTGTGGGTATTCTTTGTCTAGCAGCCACTGTCAACGTAGATCCTATGTTCTGTACTAACCTCTGGCATTCATTGCTTGTTGCAGGATGGTGAAAGCAGATGTTCCTGTGGGTATTCTTTGTCTAGCAACCACTGTCAACCTAGATCCATGTACTAACCAGTATCAGTGGCTTTACATTTTTTTACATAAATGACTGTTATCATAAACCCTGTGTTCTTTATTAACCTCTGGCCTTCATTGCTTGTTGCAGGGTGGTGAAAGCAGATGTTCCTGTGGGTATTCTTTGTCTAGCAGCCACTGTCAACGTAGATCCTATGTTCTGTACTAACCTCTGGCATTCATTGCTTGTTGCAGGGTGGTGAAAGCAGATGTTCCTGTGGGTATTCTTTGTCTAGCAGCCACTGTCAACGTAGATCCTATGTTCTGTACTAACCTCTGGCATTCATTGCTTGTTGCAGGATGGTGAAAGCAGATGTTCCTGTGGGTATTCTTTGTCTAGCAGCCACTGTCAACGTAGACCCTATGTTCTGTACTAACCTCTGGCATTCATTGCTTGTTGCAGGATGGTGAAAGCAGATGTTCCTGTGGGTATTCTTTGTCTAGCAGCCACTGTCAACGTAGATCCTATGTTCTGTACTAACCTCTGGCATTCATTGCTTGTTGCAGGATGGTGAAAGCAGATGTTCCTGTGGGTATTCTTTGTCTAGCAGCCACTGTCAACCTAGATCCATGTACTAACCAGTATCAGTGGCTTTACATTTTTTTACATAAATGACTGTTATCATAAACCCTGTGTTCTTTATTAACCTCTGGCCTTCATTGCTTGTTGCAGGGTGGTGAAAGCAGATGTACCTGCGGGTATTGTTTGTCTAGCCGCCACTGTTATCCTATATCCTGTGTTCTGTACTTAACAGTACCAGTGGCTTCCATTTTTATTCACAGAAATGACTGTTATAAACCCTGTATGACTGTTATCATACTTCCTGTGTTCTGTACTAACCTCTGGCCTTCATTGCTTGTTGCAGGGTGGTGAAAGCAGCAGTACCTGCGGGCATTGTTTGTCTAGCAGCCACTGTTATCATAGATTCTGTGTTTTGGCAGCGGCTCCTCTGGCCCGAGGGAGAGGTGTTTTGGTTCAATACCATTCTAAACAAAAGTTCTGAGTGGGGAGTATCCTTTATTTGCACTTCACCACACTCAAATTTAAACATAGCTTGTTTGATTTTCTTGTAAGTTATTTACTATTAAAAATGTAACCAAGATTGTTTTAGATTTTTAGAATAAATTGATTTCAGCTAGCTTACCCTAGGAAACGTCCAGATAGGTAGGTACACAGACAAGACACAGACAACACCCAATATTTAACCCCCTTGGGGAAGTGTAAACGAATATAGTTCAATCTCCATTTATGAGTGTAACCCGGGTCTGCGCCAAAAATCCATACCTAATCCCAGAGTTGAAAAAGATTATCTTTGGCATTCACCGACTGCGCCGGCACTAGTCCAGGTAGGCGAGATCTTGGTTTGGTACCCTAACTTAGAATATAAACAAACCACACATCCTTATGTTTTACAGCAAATTTAAGAAGTCTTGGTGTTCGCTGCATCCGAATATTTTTGGTTTTCTTATTGATATCAAGGAATCACAAACGAACACCATCGATGTATATATAACCTAACTGGATCGCTCCCTGGCATGAGAATACGGCTCTGAAAACGAGCCGCCACGCTGCTCACCTGAGGGGTACAGAGCGGCCCCACATCATTGAGTTAGCATTAGCAACCGCCGACATATCTTGCTTTTAACCTCCACTTTGTAATCAAAACGTTTTGAATTAATTTATTTCTGTTATTAGTTCAATACTGTATGTATTTTTTTTCATTACTTAGAATATAAAAACTATTACCGTATACAAAGACCCAGAACACACTTTTAAAACTTGTTTTGCATGAAGGCCTACCCAGCCGTGAATCTATAACCAAGGTCTGTATATACATTGCTATGGATCATCATTCTTTTTAACCGACTTCCCCACTACCAACAAAATGAGGAGGTTCTCAATTTGTCTGTGGCGATGTTTTTTTTTTCTATGTATGTTCACCAATTTCTCTGTGATTCTTTTACCGATCAGCGTGGTTCCACCACCAAAATAACCAGGAGAGTTTCTATTTGGTAACCTATATAGCATTGTGTTTAAGAAAAATATTTGTTTGGTGAAAAATGCTAAAAACCTCAAATATTCAACATTTATTTTGTTTATATTTTTGCAGAGAAGGCAATAAATAATAATAACATTCCTACAGCTGTTAGTTAAAACCATTTAAATGAAGCTACAGACAGTTTCTTCATGAAACAGTTGCTTCATATTGATTAATAAACTATTTCTTGCCATGGAGCCTAAATAAGTTACATTGAAAAAATTCATTTTGTTTTGGTTACTATAAAAAAGGTATTTCAACATTTGACCTGATTTGTGTATGATTCTGTTTTGAGTAATATTCTGACTTATAAAAATATAGTGAATAGCTGTATGATATTGACAATTTAAGGTGTATTGTGAAAACCAAAGCATTCGTAAAAACCGTGTCTCCTACTTCTGCGTCTGAGGTTCGTGAAGTCGTCTTATTAATAGGATCAAAAAAAAGTTCTGGCATTGATGAAGTCCCATGCAGCCTTCTCAAACTTTGCAATGAAAACATCTTTGAAGCATTGGCCTGCGCTATTAACAAGTCGTTTGAAACTGGTTGCTTTCCTGATTCGTTGAAAACTTCAAAGGTTGTCCCTGTATTTAAGAAAAATGATCCTCTTAATGCAAGTAACTACCGGCCTATTTCTGTCCAGCCTTGTTTTGGTAAAATCTTTGAGATTATTTTTCTTAAAAGATTGCTAAGTTTTATTGAAACAAATAACATCTTGTCAAATAACCAATTTGGGTTCAGAAAAAACATGTCTACCTGTGATGCCATTTTTGCCCTTTTAAAGGAAGTATATAACCACCTTGACATATCTGACAGCTTAGTATGTCTCTTTTACGACATGACAAAGGCTTTTGATCTTCTTGACCACAGGATCCTTCTGGATAAGCTGCGAATGCTTGGCATTTCTGGAAACCCACTGCGATGGATTTCATCGTATCTTAAAGATCGGCACATGATTGTATCCTGTCAATGTGGACAGTTAAGCAAATTTATCTGCCAATACTGATCCCATTGACAAAACTCATCAATCTGTCACTTCAGTCAGGAACTTTCCCATCTGCATTGAAAATTGCAAAAGTCATTCCAATATATAAAAAAGATGATCCACAAATTTTAAATAATTACCGCCCAATCTCAATCTTACCAGTTATGAGTAAAATATTTGAGAGGATCTTTCTCACTAGGCTTCAAAACTTTTTGGAAAAACATAATATTATCTCAGAAAATCAATATGGATTTAGACAAGGAAAATCCACGATAGACGCTGTAAATAAATTTATTGAAGATGTAATTGAAGGACTAGAGAATCGAAAAAAGACACTTGGTGTCTTCATCGATCTTTCAAAGGCGTTTGATTGTGTTGATCACGACATACTGTTAAGGAAACTGGAGCTCTGCGGCATCCGTGGAGTCCCACTTATGTGGCTTAGATCTTACCTCGAGGGTAGGACCCAGTACGTACAGGTGTCGACTTGCAGATTAAAGACCTTAAGGGTCTGTCAAGGGGTCCCACAGGGTTCAATCCTTGGTCCAGTTTTGTTCTTAATTTATGTTAATGACCTCCGCTCCTCTATGGTCGGCGGAAAAGTCATACAGTATGCAGATGACACGACTCTCAATCAGAATCCCAAGAAAGTCTTGAAATTGAAAGTTTTATCAATTTGAATGCATGCATCCAAAAGTTTCAGTCTGAAAATTTAAACACGAATCAGTCAAAAACGACGTACATAAATTTTTCCCTTCGTCACCGTAACGACGAGACAACGCCAACTGTAATGATGGATGAAACCTGCCTGAAAGAGGTTGATTCCACAAAGTTCTTAGGGATGCACTTGGATAGAGTGCTGAACTGGCAAAATCATGTAGATAGCATCTGTCCAAAAATTGCAAAAGGGGTTTTTGCCTTGCGTAATCTCAAGCCTGTAATGAGAGTAAGAATGAATGAAAAAGAACTTTTATTACCTTTAGAAAGGTTTTTAATAACTTGAACAATACTACATTGAATTATAATGGACTTGTTTACAAACACAACAAAACAATAATAAATAATTGAAGACACATGTTTTTTTACTACATTCTTCCTCCCTAATGTTAATGAACGTAGTCATTTAAATAATTAGGAGGTCTTCTGCTTCTGAAACTTCTTCTCGGATATGTGTCATGGTTCTCTCCTCTAGAAGCTTCTTGTCTAGGTTGTAAACTCTCGGCAGTAGTATTCATTTCATCTTCTTGGTTCTTTGATGATGATGGACTAGGAAAGTATTCAGGTTCAGGTTGAGAAGTGGGTAATAGAATATTTTCATCACTCTCAAAATCGGTTTGCTCTATGTCGGTTTGGTACTCACCAACCGGAGCAAGATGACGTGTAGACACGGTAGTTTCTCTTCCGTCAGGCAACTTAACATGAGCATACTCGGCATTCCCGTGAAAAAGTTGGACCTCTTCAACAAGTGGCTCATACTTGGACGTACGATTGAATCTCTTCAAGTAGACAGGGCCGGAATTGAGAAGCCATGAAGGAGCTGAAACACCATTGTTCCCAGATCTACGTGGATGTAAGAACATACGCTCGTGAGGAGTTTGATTTGTGGCTGTGCAAAGTAATGATCTCACTGAGCTGAGGGCATCCTCTAAAACTGTCTCCCATTGGTTTATTTCCAAGTTAAGTGATTTCAACACCAGTTCAATTGTTTTCCATAGAATGCCGTTATACCTTTCTACTTGCCCATTACCTGCTGGATTGTACGCAGTGGTTCTACTAGTTGAGATTCCAAGTGAGTTCAAGTAGCTTTTTAAGTCTTGGCTCAGAAATGATGTTCCTCTGTCCGAATGTATGTAACTAGGAACCCCAAAAGTAGAAAATAATGTTTTTAGTTTCGACTTAACTGTTGACGATGACATGTCTGAACAAGGGAAAGCGAAAGGGAACCGTGAAAACTCGTCTACTATTACTAATAAGTAACGGTTTCGACTTGATGAAGGCAGCGGGCCTTTGAAATCGATATTCAGCCGTTCAAATGCAGAAGTGGCTTTAATCAAAATCCCTTTGTGTTTGAAGAATCTAGGCTTCACAGCAGCACACACATTGCAGGAGTTTGTTATTCGTCTGATTTCATCAATCGAGTAGGGCAAGTTTTTACTTCGAACCCAGTGGTACAAACGTGTCACACCTGGATGACACAGATTCGCATGTAAATCAATCAACAGTTTTTCTTGATTTTAGATTGAAGAACATACTCTAGTCAGGGCATCTGCAGCCATATTATCTTTACCGGGTCTATATACAATATCATAATGAAAACACGACAATTCCAGTTTCCACCTCATTATCTTTTCATTTTTCACTTTGCCATGACGGTTGTTATCGAACATAAAAGAAACCGACCTCTGGTCAGTAATCAGTTTGAAATGTTTACCAACCAAATAGTGACGCCATTTCCGCAGTGCTTCCACAATAGCTTGTGCTTCTTTTTCGACACTTGAATGTCTTTGTTCTGCTGGAGAAAGTATCCTTGAGAAGAATGCGACTGGACGGTTCGATTGACTCAAAGTAGCAGCAATGGTACTCTCAGATGCATCAGTTTCTACGATGAACTGTGCTTCAGGGTCAATGCAGCTTACTACAGATCCGATGATTTCACTTTTTATAGTTTCGAAAGACTGGAGCCCTGCTTGGGACAAAGGGAATGTAGTACGCGCAAGTGGAATCACTTTGGTAGCATAATCTGGTATAAGTGATGCATAATGTGAAAACATACCAAGGGTCCTCCTCAGTGATGCGGTGTCTCTGGGTGCAGGTAAATTTTTCAAAGGATCTAGTCGACTGGGGTCAGGCTTGATAGTTTTGTTTGATATATGATAGCCCAACAAGTTGATCGATCGCAGTGAAAATGAAGACTTCTCATTATTAATAGTTAGGTTGTATTTGGATGCAGCTTCGATAAACTTTTTTAAGTTTATATCGTGTTGTTC